AAATAAATCCTATCTTTTCCAGGTCTACCACGAACATGGGGACTTGCTTCTATGAGGTCATAGGCCACAGGTGTCACATCCTGAGAGCCTCTGGAGGGGAAATTGCGATTCTTTCTCCAGAAACCCATGATTTCCTGCCTCTGGTGGCACAGTGGTTAAGAACTACGGCTGCTAACCATAATACTGGCAGTTTGAATCGACCAGCTGCTCCTTGGAAACCCTACAGGGCAGTTCTGCTCTGTCCCATAGGGTTGCTATGACAGAATCGACTCGATGGCAATTTTTTTTTTTTTTTTTTTTTACCTTACAGGGGCTTCAAGAACACTGCGAACCTAGCACCATGATATCGGACAAAGCCAAGAATATCATTAAATGGGAGTGAAGTTTTATTGGGAAAGATGAAAGGCCTTAAACAGGGAAGGATGCATTTCTTCATTTTATTCTAGTCTGTGAAGGCTTAGGGTGAGGAGAGTACCAACTAGCTGTATTCCTATTTCCACTGCAGATAAAACAAAATGGGCTTAAGGATGAAGCTGGGTTAGATATAAGAACTTTTTGACAGGAAAGAATATGAGACGATAGAACAACTGCAAAATATCATTACCTAGAAATATCTATGATGAATGAATATACAGACCAGTTACAAAGAGTTTTCCAAAAGTAACTGGCTACAAATTCTGTTCTTACACAATATTCACACTGGCTTCATTTAAACTCACCAAATACATCCAGAATTTTCCCTACCAAATAGAGATGCCTCCCCATAAAAAACCAAAAAGTGAAGAGAAAAGAAAGACAAAGGAAATGCAGCTGTAGGCCCTCTCCCTGATTTCGTCTATGGCATGGGCTGCATACGGGTTTTGCTGGTTTTCATTTGCCAGACAGCTATCTATCCAGCCAAGTGGAGGCACGGTTCCAGTGTACGTGTCAGGGAGTGGGGATGGAAAGATGAGGAATGTAGCCTGATTTCAGCTCTTCTCCTTACAACAGCCATACTTTGATTCCAGCAGCTCTTCCCACCCACGTAACCAGGAGCATCAATAACCTGGAAAATACTACTGACTATATACTTAACCTGTGCTTGCCTGTGCTAGAAAGACACCAGATGTTCTGTGTCCTGATTTAAGAGACAGAAATGTTCTAGTTGTTGCTTTAACAAATGAGTCCATTGCACGAAGTCACGTGCAAAGACCTGACAAAGCCTTTACCGTTTAGATGCCCTGTTCTATGTATCTCGGAGAGATGGGCACGACAGGAATGGTGGCAGCTGGCCAGAGGAGACTACTATGCAGTGGGGCATCCTGAAGACGTATAAATTAGAGCTAATTTGGGGCCACTTGCTAGAGGATTAGAAACAGAAAATACTCTTTGTTCTTCTTTCCTTTTCTGAAGAGCAAACAGTAAGACCTAAAGAGATAGACAGCATTAATATTCCTTTCTACAGAAGAGAAAACCAAGGTTCTAAGAAGTTAAATACAGCATATTGTAGCTCTGTGATCGTGGGTAAGGACTTCAGTTTCACTACTCACCTCTATTAAACTGAAATCTATGATTAGGGACTGCGTCTCTTCTGTTCACCTACTGAGCAGTCCTTAATAATATTTTTTTTTAATGAACAAAGAAAGAAGGCCCAGATGAATCCCCAGCTGGACAGACAGAAACGAGTATTTTAAGGCAAAGTGAGATGAACGCTACAAAACAGCCTAATTTAGACTAGAGAGTCAGCACAATATAATCACTTCTTTAAATCCCATCCTTCAACTTTATTTTTGTCTCCTACCTAATCACTAGAATTTGTAATCATTGCCCACTGAGGTAATGCAATCTGGCTGGAATTCTCACAGCCTGTAACTCCTTTGCATTCAATCTTCCTGCCTTAGAGCTCCAAGAACCTACATGAAATATAACTTCTTCCATGATCTTCCCATAATTCCCAAAATACATTTTTCTCTGCTTTATCTGCTAAAGGCTGAGAACTTTAATATTCTGATTTATTCAAACTTCTTCCTACCTTTTTTATATATGGATTTCAAACGTTTTTTTGAATTTTTCCTGACTCATCTACACTTTTCTGCTCCTTTTGAATGATTTCTTAGGTTCTGAAACAAATTCATCACGTAAATGACTCCAAAGAGGAGGGGCAATTAATTTTCACAAACGAGCTACTTTAGGGGTCTTCCCATTTTTTACAGCACTTGGAAGATCAGCAAAAGGAAGCCCAGGAGAGGAAGAAGTGACATGAAGACTAATTAGCAACATTCAAATGTGACTACATAAAACATAAAAAGACTATACTTTCAAGTATAAAGGTATTGAGAAGGGAAATATTTACTCCTTCAACAAATACTTTATGAGCATCTACCCTGTCCCAGGCCTTGTATAAGTTGCTAGGGATACAAGCCAGTTCTGACCCTTAAAGGGGTTACAGTCTAGGGCAGGGTTTCCCAGCTTCAGCATTACTGACATTTTGGGTAGGATAATTCATCACTGTTGGGGGGCAGGGGCTGTTTTGTTCATTAGAGGATATTTAGCAGGATTCCTGGCCTCCACCCACTAGATGGCCCCTGGATATTGCCAAATGTCCCCTGGGGGGCAAAATCAGCCCTCGAGTGAGAACCACTAATCTAGGGAAAGAGGCAGATAATTTACAACACATTGTGATAAGTATTATTACCAACACTTTGGGAATTGAGAAGACCAAGAACCAAAACCAAACCCACTGCTGTCGAGTTGATTCCGATTCATAGCGACGGTACACGACAGAGTAAACTGCCCTGGTGGTGTAGTGGTTAAGAGCTTGGCTGCCAACCGAAAGGTCAGCAGTTAGAATCCACAAGCTGCTCCCTAAACACCCTATGGGGCAGTTCTACTCTGTTCTACAGGGTTGCTATGAGTCGGAATCGACCTGACAGCAATTGGTTTGGGTTTTTTTTTTTTTTGGTTATAAGGTTTCCAAGGCTGTAAATCATTACAGAAGCAGACTACTACATCTTTCTCCCTTGGAGCAGCTGGTGGGTTCCAACTGCTGACCTTTTGGTCTGTAGCCAACTGCTTTAACCACTGCACCACCAAGGCTTCTGGAATAGAGAAGAAGGCTCCTTATTCTGAGGGAAAGTGGCAGAGGATGCCATAAAAGGTTTCACAGAATGACACTTAATGCTGAGTTTTTAAAAGATGCTTAGAGTAGGCCAACAGGCAAGAAGAGGGACAGTTAGGAACACAGGGAAGGAGTAGAAGAAAACGAGTGAAGAAGGGTCATTCATGCAGAGACAATAGGATGGACAAAGGCCTGGAGGAAGAGGGACCACGGACACTTCAGGCAATGGTAGACAGTTTGCATGGGGGATATAGAAATAAGGCTGGGGCCAGACTATGACAAGAAAGAAAGGAGTTGGAATTTTATATTCTAAATGAGAGGCTGTGTGGACATGTGTGTATCTGTATATATTTAACACAGTGGAGCCCCTTTTTCGAACAAAACCTTATCCAAATCCCCAGGATATTAAATGATCAAAGGAGAACTGCTTTGGTTAGATTATGGCCCACTCAGTCTTTTCCTTAGCCTCTAAGTTGGCTTCTGAAGCACCTCTGTGGATCCCTAGAACTCCAGGAAACATATTGTAAAAATCACTTTCGTAGGCAATGGGATACTATTGAAGAATTTTAGTGGAAAATATGTAATCAGATTTGATTTTCAGAAAAAGCCCTCTGGTAGCAGAGTATGGATTAGGGACAAGGGGGAAAACCTACAGGCAAGAGACCGGTCAGCATTTTACACGGGTGTCTCACTCAGAGCCCATTCTTAGGGCTACAATACATAGGAAAAAACACATTGTTTTTGGAGTCATACACATCCAGCTCCAAATTCCACTGTGTCACTACGACCTTGGGCATGTTAGTTGACCTTTCCAAGCTCTACTTTCCTATTCTGTAAAATGGGGATACTATCTCATTCGGTTAATATAAAAATATGTAAACAGTGGTTAAGTGCTGACAAATGATAAACACTTGGTAAATGTAACTGTGCATCCTCTTCTTTCACTTAGTCTCTTTAAAGTTATTAAGTCTCCCTGATCCTGTGTATCTCTGAGTGTGGGGAGAGTTAAACTGTTTGCTGTCAATGGATTGTGAACAAATGCATGATTGTTTTTTTTTTTAAAATAAAGCATTATTTTTTGAGTGACCTTTTAGCATGAGCCACATGCTAGTGGAAGAGGTCAGGATTTGACTTCTTACTTTGGGATTTGTCAGGATGTCACATAGAAGAGAGAGACCAGAACAAGAATGGCCACGCCCAAGGCCCAGATATGTCTGTCTGGTGCAGAGTCAGCCTCTGGCCTTCAGTTAGGTGAAGCTTGCATCCATTCCATGGTCAGGAAAGTAGCAGCTAAAGACTCCAACTGTGTACAAAGCTCTCAGGAAATGCAAGTAATGTTGGGATCACAAAGCCTGAATTGTAAAATCCAAGTTTCAAATCCAAGCATCCTTCTATTCTTTACCATCCTGTGTTCGTAAGCCCTTTTTCAACTGTGAATATTTATGCTTCCCTTGGAGAAAACCATCTTTATTTCACTAGCACTGACCTGTTTTCTTCTCGTCTTTTCCACTGTTTACTGTCACGACTACATATTGTCAGCTAAGAGAAGTAAATGTCCATGGTAAAAAGGTGGAAGGTACAGGGCTTGGGAATACAACTGGGTGGAGAACTTGATCCTGGAGGACGGAAGAGTTTAATTTAAGTATTTTGAGACCACAGGCATTGTTTTTGTTCTATAGGTTATGCCTTATAGAACCAGCCACATGCAAACCAATCAGGTGATTAACAAAACCTTCTGATACCCTCCAGGCAGTCTTCACCCCTGTAACAGCAAGTCTATCTTCCCTCATGGCCCTAGGTTCCCTGGATTCTACACTTACCCTTTCCACCGAAGAATTTAACATCACACGCAATTCCTGTCCAATTTGAGACTCTAATGTGAAAGAGAACTCAGCAGTCTTACCTCTGAATTAGGGTTCCGAAGACCAGATGAAGAACTTTCTTCACGTTTTCAGTACATAGCCATCTCCACTGTTCCATGAGCAGCAAGAGAAGCAGATTCAGGGCTGTGTCAGCTAACTCTGTCTCTGTCCCTGGGGTGGAGTGGGGGGGAAGGTGAAAAGGCATCAAGAGCAACCCAGACGAGACCCACACTTGAGGAACGCATTTCAGTGCACACTGGATGGCACCTGGGTCTTCTCCACCTTCACAGTGACCATCTTGTACTTTTGTAGTCCCTCTGCACTCAAATCCAGTCAAGAGATGCTTCCTTCATATCTATAAAATTCAGTGCTAGGCTCTGTATTTCTTTTGTTCATGTCCAGATATTCTGTCACTTGGTTATTTTTATTTTTTTAAATATTTTGCATATAATTATTTTGCCTAGCTAGCTTATGTTTCTTCTATATTTCTCCAGGATGCTGACTACATTTTATTCCAAATAACTAGTAACTGGAATTGGCAAGGCGAGGTCTCTTCCATCCTTACATTCCACCTCCCCCCATGAAGCATCATGGAAATGTTGTGGGCAGCAGATCTGGGGAAAGATTTGGGCTTTGTTCTCCGGCAAAAGCTTGCTTTGAATGCTCCTCCATTACACGGAGCTGTAGGACTGGGATTCAGGAGGCTGCAGTTTGATGTTAAACGACATGTGATTCTAGAAAGAGCACCATACCTCTGGTAAATGGCATGAAAATTAGTGACATTTTTCCTGTTGAAGACTGGAAAGGCCACAATGAGTTCATGCCCACGCTCAGCCTAAGTCTTCTGAAGATGTGTTCACTCTATGGGTAGAACCATCTGTTCTTTAGCCCTGTTCAGGGGTTCCCCGTCATCTCTGATTTGCTTCCCTAAGAGTACATAATGTTCTAGGATGAACCTTGAGATATCTGGTGCTACTGATGTTGATAAATATTATAATTAACCATCAATAAACAACTCTGGTAGTCTAGGACCAATGGGTATTCTCTGCGCCAGCTTTGCCCAACCTCTCCTCCCTTAGGGGTTCTTTAGAACGTGAATGACTTCAGATGTGGAGAGATCTGCTAGAACTAAATCCTCCTTCCTTCTTAGGCCTACCTAATACAGATGTTCTTTTTCTGTGCTGTTGCTCAAGGGTCATGGGAGCCGATGTGTTGCTTGCTACCTAGTCATTTGCTCTAAGATGGGATATTCAGCTCCTTGGGAAATAGCAGAATCCTGAGCCTTAGTCACATTCCTCAATTCTATTATTTTCTCAGGTCTAGCATTTGCCTAGAGCTGCCACCATGTGGTGACAATTAGTCATGGCAGTGAAAATAAGACAGCAAACAAGACACCAAGCTCTCTTGAAGAAAATGGTACATTTTCTATCATATGAGCATTTTAGGCTTTTAGAACTACCAGGGTTGACAGAAGGCACAAACTACTCCTTTGGAGATATGATGTCTAGAGTTTCCAGACTTGATTTTAGTTAGCATGACAGGATTTTACCCATCCCATTTTATTTACAATTTCTTACAGTTCCCGATGCTTTCACGCTACTTCACGTACTTAACCAGTGAGGCATGAGCGCAGGGAAGGGTTTGTAAACCCCATTTTCCATGTAGCTGAACTGAAATCCACAGAGGAGCATTCAGGTGATTTGTTCATGGTAGGCGCAACAAACTTTCTTCTTATAATTTCTAGTTCAAAAAACATACTGGGTAATACCCAAGGCTCCTACTTGTTCCTCCACAGAATACATCTATACTTCTTCTGGGAAGCAACTAGTCTGCCTTGCCTCAAATGCTTACAAGCAGCAAGTGACCCCCCTGCTGTACCCTGGGTAACTAGGTGGTGTCATTTTACTGTGGCAGTAAATCAAGAAGAAGGAAGAGATGTAGGAAAACAGATAAATTCCATTCTGAACATGTTGCATTTAGTTGCTATAACTGTATATCCAAGTGGAGATTTCCAGTAAGTAATTGGATACACATACCTGGAAAGATTATATAGACATCATCAGTACATGTGCTACAGCTGAAGGCAAGACTATGGAGGAGATCGCCCAGGGAGAGTGTGCAAAGTAAGAGACCAACACGGAAGCTCTGGCAGGCTACCGAGGGAGCCACCAAGGAGACTGAGAGGGACCACACGAGAGGCAGAAAGAAAACCAGGAGAGCAGCATCCCAGACAATAAGGGAGAATGTGTCTAGATAAAGGGAGCAGTCCAAAGATAACTGAAACAAGACAAAAATATAACAAGCATGGGTCTTATCTTGCTGGATTAAAACTTCCTGTGTCTGTGTTCTCCTCTGCTAGACTCAGCTCTTAAGACTTCACCTTACTCGTTTTTGTATCCCAGCACCCACCACAGCACCAAAAACACTGGTGTTGAACACATGTGTGGGAGCACAGACTTTGTCACTTACCTGGATCACTGTTGCTGAGATCATGGGCTGGCACAGATGCGTCTGACAAGCAACCATCCACACATCCTTTGTGGATTTGTTCAGGATCTGTTTCTGGAGCTTCCTCTGGCTGCATTTCTAATAACTTACTCTGTTTTTTAATAAAGGATTCCATTCCAGACAGGGACAGGATCTCTGATTCCTGAAGAAATAGCCAGTGGCACATCACACAAAGAACACAGAAAGAAGGAGAGCAAATGTAGCACTTAGGTTCCTCCCCTGGTCTCCCCTTCAAATCTGTCATGGGTAGAGAAACTAATTGATTCTGTGACCACCTTAGGGCAATTTTTATTCTTCATCCAAGTTGTAAGTAAAATAAGTCTGTCTCTGGATTAACACTTGGAGTGAACATTTTGGGTCATCTGTTCTCGCCTGAAATGGCTTTCTTTCTCATCCTGTCATCTATTATCCCAATGCCCTGCTTTTGAGAGACCAGCCTACCAACCCAAAACTAGTAGGAATTCCAGACTGCTCACAGAAAAAAATATCCTCAGCATAAAAACTAAGAGTTCTAGATGCTGGCACCTACCTCCTTTCTGACTTTGGAAAATGTCTCAAATGCCTACAAGTGCAGGATCAACATCCCAGTGAGTAATTCTGGAAGCTCTCCAGACTTTGGTTCTTACCATATTGCCTTCTTGGAGACAATAGAGGACCTTCTCATGTACTTCAGTCATACTCAATGCAGGAGCAATTTTACTGGATGAGAACCTCAGTCTGGACCTGGTACAGAAACAAAGAGCAGGAACAGAATGTAATTCATGGTCTTGATCCCCGTAAAAAGGGCTGACAAGAATTAATACATCAAAACAAGAACACCCAAACTTATTCTAAAGAACTTATTGTGGTCAGAGTTGCCAGGAGACACTTGGCCCTGAAGTCACCCCAACAACGTATATTCTGGCAACTCCACACAGTTCTTACACTAAGCTATGTCTCCACAGTGCGTATTTGAAAGGGCTTTTGCCAGCACAAAATAGGGACCAGTTTGTCATGGCTACATCTCCATAGGCTAGAAGAGTAGTTAGCCAACGGCACACACTCATTTACAATTTGTTGAGTAAACAGACAAGTGGCACAGACCAAGGGTTTATCTTTCTTTGCTCATACTCTTTTTGCAACTCCATTATTCCTCCTGCCTTCCCCATGAAACCAACGAGGGGATTAAATGATAACCTCAATGATTCAAGGAGAGGGTGCTCATAAGGACAGGCATCATGGTCATCCTTTAACTAGGGACCCATAAGAAAAAGCTAAGAACTGGGAGTCTGTTATTGCTGGCCAGTGAAACATGAACACAGAGATGGAGACAGTCTTAGACACACACACACACTCTTTCTCTCTTTTCTCTCCTCATCACGGTCTGTATTCTGATGAAGTTTTCAGCAAGGGTAAGTATGTTTAGTGCCCTTCCACATGTTGGCCATGAGTGTTTCCAGGGATCATCTGGGGTCCTAGTGCAGGGGAGAGTAACAGCAATCAGGCAGCTTCCAAAACAGGCCCTAAAGGTTCCAATTCTAGCCGTTTCCTATTTAGTGCTAGTATATGCAACTTCTGAGCCAAGATTTCCAGAAATGATGGCAAAGAGAGATCAGTCATAAGTCTTAATTCTTAGTAGGAAAGAAATATCTCAGTTTCCTAGGAAAACAGAGCAGAGGGAATATTCATATTCTAGAATTTTCCTTCTAGTAAACAATCCCTGGTCATTTTGGTTCCCACTCACAAGAGCAAACATTCAGCAGTGCTGTCTATGCAACATCTCAGGCTCCTCTGGGTGGAGTCTTGAGGAATCGGGGTCTGGTTCTGTGTAAAAACTGGAATGTATAATTCACCTCCTCTCCTCTGGGGCTTGACAGACGGGCTGGGCTTTGGTTGAGGATCGGGGATCAACCTAAGAATTGGGAAAGGGTCCTGGGGCAACTGAAGGGGTTCTCACTTGTTGGCCTTCTTGCCTTCTGTTTGGGGCTTGCTTTCTGTCTCGGCCTCACTCAGCTCCTCTGTGGGGCTCTGGGGCTCAGAGCGAGGAAACGCTGTCTTCAAGGTATCCATGATAGCACTCACCACCATCTGCAGAGGCCAGAGGTGCAGGGTCAGTAAAGCCATTCATACCCCTAGTAGAAACAGCTGAATAAGCAAGTTGTCTCACAGTGCTTTATGCATCAGGAAACATCAATAGCCAAGCTATCTAGCACCGCCTTATCCATCAGAATAGTCACAAAACAAACAAACAAAAAACCTGCTGCTGTCAAGTCCATCTGGACTCATAGTGACCCTACAGAACAGAGCAGAACTGCCCCGCAGGGTTTCCAAGGAGCACTGGGTGGATTTGAACTGCCGACCTCTTAGTTAGCAGCCGCAGCTCTTACCCATTACACCATCAGGGTTTCCAAAATAGTCAAAGATACCAGCTAAGAGCTGAGTGGCAATTAGCGCCTTCTTTCTGTAGCCATAAAAATCTTCTGCCTCACAGAGGAGGACAATAATGCCATGGGAAGGGAAGCAAGGAGAAACAGTGGGAAAAATGAAAAACCAGGAGTCTTGCAGGCTGGTGAAGTACTTTTTACTTTTTATAAAAGAGTGGTTTTTAGTTTCCAAAATAATAATACTTCCACCAAAGTATGAATGAGTAGAAGTAACACAGGTAGGAGTATATGGAAAGAGAAAAGAGAGAAGATGATTTCAAAAATAAGCAATATAATCTAGAGGCACATATAACATAAACATGCTCAGAGTAATTCACACAGTAAGAATTTAGTTGTTTTAGTCAAAAAAGATGTGTGTGTTACTTCTATGAGAAAATTTTTCTTCTTTATGTACAGAATAACAAAAATCACTCAGAACAAAATTAAGGCGACTGGAGTTGACATAATACTTCTCTACTAATAATAACTCTCATTGAAGAATACGAATTATTTCTATTTCCTGGATGGGAAAATGACATACAGATATTTACTAAAAGTGAAAACATATAAACAAACAAAACACTAAAATATCAAAGGTACAGATAGAAAAACATTTACGTTTTCTTTGGTGCCTCCTGCTAATTAATACACTGCTTGACTCAGCCATGGGGCCCTGGTGGTGCTGTGGTTAACAGCTCGGTTGCTAACCAAAAGGTCAGCAGTCTGAATCCACCAGCCGCTCCCTGGAAACCCTATGGTGAAATTCTACTCTGTCCTATAGGGTTGCTATGAGTCAGAATCAACTCAATGACTATGGGTTTTTGGGCCTCTGAGTAGTGTGGTTCCTTCTTTAACTAATTCTCCTGTTAATCCTCCACAGCACAGCTAAGACAAGGCTGAAATGCTCAGCTCAGACTGTAGTAAAGGCTAAAAAAAAAAAAAAAACAACAAACAAACCACTGCCGTCCAGTCGATTACACCTCATAGCGACCCCAAAAGGTTTCCCAGGCTGTAAATCTTTACGGAAGCAGACCGCCTCATCTTTCGCCTGCAGAGCAGCTGGTGGTTTTGAGCCATCAACTTTTCAGTTAGCAGTCTATTGCTTTAACCACTATGCCACCAGGGCTCTTTAGTAAAGGTTAGCTGGTAATAAAGCAGGGAAAGAACACACAAGATCGCAAATGTAGATAATGTAGCTTAGGAACTATAGCTTGCTCTCTGATCTTGCAGAACTGCAGTCTGTGTACTTCTTGAAGGGAGGGGCCTTATCTGTCTTGTCCTCTGTCGTATCACCAGCGACTAGTACAGATCTGGCTCCTAAGGGGCTTCCAGGAAGTAGATGTTGAAGGAACCAATCAATCAATCTACATGAGACTCAGGGGACTGGACCTAGGCCTTTCTACTTTGTCGTTTTTTCCACATAGCAGTAAATCTCCCTAATACCTACCATATGAAATTCCATTTTATTCCCTGAAATCTAGATGAGAAAAGGAAGAACCTTCTCCTGCCAGTGAGTGTTTTCCAACTTTTTAAAACACATGCCATCCTTTGATAACATTACTAATGCCCATACTTCTGCTCTGGATAGTCTGCTATACAGCTGTGATCACTGCCTTCAGGATCTCCAATGTGCAAGACAAATGTCCTTCTCCTACCACCTCTAAAGGTTCTGAGATACCCTTTTGGAGATGGCACAGTTCTCTCCCACCTCTGTTTTGCAGCAGAGAATCACTACGTCAATCTAAATCCAGCTTAGCTTCCTATCTTTGAGCACCCTTTCCTGAATGACCAATGCTAGGACGGACCTTCACTTCCAGAAGGGACCCTCCTGCCCCCACCTAGCCATTGAGGTACAGATCTATCCTTACATGCCTCCACTAGAATAACAATATCATGACATTCCCATGAGATATGTGTACACGTAAAGTATCAGGGTGTTGTTTCCTAACAGTTGCTCACTGTAACTCAGCAAGTTGATCATCTAGCCAACACTTGGCAACAGGTCTTGAAAATTCTATTCCATGTTCTGTTGACTCCTCTGTGCTGCCTCTCCACACTCCCCAAACCCCCATCTCCTTTGTTTTCAAGTACTGTCCCCATTCTGCTGAAAAGACTTTACCTTCATAGATACAAACTAAGGCTGAGGATACTGGCCCTGCTGGTACCTTGTCTATTCTGGAGACCATAAAAGGTTTCTTGACAAAGGCAATACGAGCATCTGTATTGAGAGCGAGGAACTCCTGCATCTCCTCACTGTTGGCGATCTCAGGAATGGCACACAGTTGCTGCAAAGGTAAGATACAAGAAGACTTTAAACAGAAATTCAGTCCCCAGATTACTTCACCTTGGTTTAGGAGTCTAGTTGTAGCTAAACTGATAGCAGAGCCAAAAAGGAGAATGCTGACCTTTAGGAATGATTCCAGAAGGCTCTTACGGGCTTCTACTCTGTCACTATCCATGTTTCCAAAGGGGAGATCTGGAAAGAGCTTTTTAGGCCCTTTCACGTCTTAAAAAAAAAAGAAACAAAAAAAAAAAACCTTAGTCACTTAATATTTACTGAGAAATTTTCATATAAAACACATTATACATATAAAGAAAACAGAACTGATAAATCTATTTCCCTAGGATATATTTTATTTCAGGAGTTCTGCAACCTAGTACTATTATACCCCAGGGATATAATACATACAACCTGCTCTCATTACTAATGCTAACATTAAGGTATCTAAGAGGCCATACAGTACAGCAGCTATAAATGAGGGCTCTGAAATCCAATTGCTTGAGTTTAAATTTTGGGTCCAATCCCTATTATAATAATGACCTTAAGCAAGTTACTTAGTCTTTCTTTAACTTCATTTCTTTTCTGTAAAATGGGGATAATGACAGTATCTATCTCACAGGCGGTTAAAGAGGACTGAATGAACTGATACGTGTAAAGTGCTTAGAAGAGAACCCGGCATATATTTTCAAGTTTGGTTCAATATTAACTATTGTTATTAAGAAATAAAATGCATAACTGAAATCCAGAATATATGTCCAAACATATTAAAATGTTATCTGAGTATTTATGAGCATTTTTTAAAATAAAGCAGCCAGTTAACTAGCTTATTTCTGGAGTTTCACATTTTCTTATTTTCCCTATGCCCCAGAGGTGTCCAACAGCAGACAAAAAAGCCTAGCTGTTAAAGGAAAAAAGGTGGCAAGGATTCCTGGATAACATTTTAATATTTAAGAGAAATCAATCTATGAATCTGGAAAAGTTAATTTAACTCTTCACAATACCTCATGGGAATAGGTGGAAATGTGAACATATCTTTCTTAAGCAAAGGACTGCCTCAGAAAAAACGTGATCAGTGCTGTCCAGAGCTGAGCCCAAAACTCCCTAGGCAAACCAGGGAGCAGAGGACCCTCAAGGCTGCACTTCCCTCTTCCATCCCTTCCCACAAACCAATCGTCCACCAAGCTCTCAGGCCAGGATGGCTTGCTGTAGAAAGCAAGCAGGCAGCTCAGGGTTGGGGAAGCTCCTGACTTTTGATGAACTTTCGTAGATCTGGTTTCTCCTCCAGCCGGGTCTGCAGATTCAAGAACTCTCGGTAGCGGCGATTCACAGTGTGGTAGGCCAACTGCTGCAGGCCACTGGCGTTCTCACCATCAAGGGATGTCTCATACTGTTGAATGAACGAGTCTGTTGGCTGAATGAGCCAGGCTTAGGCAACCTCCTACTCTGACTTTAATGACTATTTGCTCAATGGCCACACAGTAAGAGTAAAGAAGGGGTAGAAAGAGAGATGTTCCTATTCTGTTCTGGACTACTATATATGATTGCTCCCTTGGGCTGTACTAAATACCTGAAACTCCAACGGTGGCTGAATTAAGAAACGAGATGCACTTTCCAATACACATGGCCCAGAAAGTTTTACTGCTCTCCACTCCTACTTCTATCCTAAAGCTTCCCGCCACAGACACTTTCCTACAAAAACAGCAACACAACTATTTTTCAAATCCCAGAGTATAAAACACAAGGCATAACATCTATAAAAATATGGTCTCTTTCACCGGTAAATTATAGGGCTGAGTATTATAAGAGGATAACCATTTGCCACTAAACTGAACTACTGATTATCTATATTAGTTGAGGGAAGAACAAATAATCCAAAACAGCAGATGAACAAAAATCATTTGTTTTTCTGGAATGCACTAAAGGGACATGTGTTTTTGTTTTGCTTTGGGCAGACTAATCTTCCTAATTGTTATTCTTAGAGTTAAATGATGGGGGGAAAAAAAAAAACTTCTTTGTTGGCAGGACTTGAGGTTGGTGTCTTAAAGTATTTTTAGAGGCAGAAGGAAAGAGGTATTCATTATGAGCTGATGTGAGCAAAGCGATCCCTCAGACCAGTATTGAAAAGGAAAGATCTAGGTAAGAAATGCAGGTGGAATTCAGGATGAGGTTTTCAAACTTGGAGCACCTGGAGTTATGATGCTTTCTGTGGAATATTGTGCTTCTTGAGGGACATTATTCAATACAAATATCTCCATTTCCATCACATAAACTGCAAAAGAGTTATACCATCAGAAAGTACAATATTTATATACAATTTGAAATCAGTTATATGTCCATGTAAAAAATCTATGCCCAGACTCTCAGATTACACACCACTGGCTATATTATTTATATTATTTTGTTGCTCATTTTGCACCTTGTCTCTTTCTAATGCTTACTTGGAGATAAGTAGTAACACATGTCAAAATTTAACAACAAAAAAAAGAAAAATAAATAAACAAGGGGAAAAAGACTATGAGCTTAAAAAATTCTGTCCATCAAGTTAATCTGCTAATAAGGAGGAAAACACTCTTTTAATTTCATTGTTGGAATATGTCATAAACAGAAGATGAATAGATGAAAGAAAGGTACCTGTCAGATGGAGACCAGGATTAGGAGGAAACAAGCCAGGCAAACGTTAACAAAGTTATACCAGTCGTTTGAGGTTAGACTGAGTTATCACTTGACCAGACATCTGTACTTGTAAAATCTGTCTATTTTATAAGAAGTGTGTGTGCTTCTAATTATTTCCATTTCGTCTTATTTGAAAATTTCACATTACTTTTCGAAATTCTAGCTTCATGCTCCAGCTGTTAGCAGATTAAGGAAGGGATCTTTTTCCATTTACATGGATTAGGATTTAATGGGGAGTACAGCACTGAGGCTTGGGCATGGTCGTAGTTTTTGGACTCAGAACAAGAAAAATTCAAGAGGACGGCAAGTAAAATCCAATAGATCTAAGGTCCTGCCCAGACATTCTCTCTCCAAAATTCTTCCCTGGTAATTTCTTTTTTTTAACTACTACTATCTTCTGAACTTTGTATTAAGAACGTAAGTTATTTATCTACGTATACCCCAGAAGGTAGCAACTTCCTCATATCTGGATGTATTTAAGCAAAGACTTGGAAAGCACTGGCAGAGATGATATGAACGGGGTTCAAATATCAGAAGGGTGGTTAGACTACAGTAGCAGTTCCCCAAAACTGGTTAAAGGACAGGCTGCATCCAAATCACCTGGAAAGCTATTTTTTAAAAAAATATGTAGAAGCCTGGGGCCCATCCTTGAGATTCTCATTCAGAGTATGTCAGATCCTGTCAGTATCCATATATTTTAAAAGCAGCCCAAGTGATTTCGATGTGCAGCCAGGCTTGGGAACTACTGAAAAATCTGACCCTCAGTATCCTAACAACCCTGAGACTACAGGATTTTTGTGTAGGTATAGGATAAGAGGAAAGCCTGGTGGCATAGTGGTTAAGTGCTACAGCTGCTAACCAAAAAGTCGGTAGTGTGAATCCACCAGGCACTCCTTGGAAACTCTATGGGGCAGCTCTACTCTGTCCTATAGAGTCACTATGAGTCGGAATTGACTCAAAGGCAATGGGTTTGGTTTTTGGGGTTTATAAGATAAGAGCCTATTCTGTCTTACAAATTAGCTTCAGATCATTTACATACAGATGCTTATTGAATTAAACATAGCAAACTTAGACTAGTCTCCCCCTCGAGAACATTAGCTTCACTGTCTCTCCACTTTCTGAACCCATCCCCAGCCCAGAGCAGTGACCACAGCTCTAATCCTATTACCTTCACAGTGTAGAGTGTGTATGGGTGGAATCCAGTGCCACTGTGCTCCCGGGCAGTAATGGTGCCAGTGATACGAAGGTTCTGGATGACTACTGGGCCATCTGGACTGCCGAGGGACTCAAAGCTGAAGGTGGCTGAGCTGAGAGAGTTGGGCGGAGAGGAGGAAAGCAGAACCTGTGGTAGACTAGGATCAAGGGAGCTCACACCATTTGTGAGATCCTTCTCTAAGCATGAAGGGCGTGGGGGGCAGGTCATTTCTGGCCCCTCTGGGAAAGCTGTAAGAGAAGCGGCATCTCCTTGCTCTACTGGCTTGTCTGCTGCGTCAATCTGGATCTCTGGGCAGGTGTTCAGCATGGAGACCAGCAGGCGTGTCTCTGTTTCTGTCCCTGGATCCTCTTCACCCTCTGCTCCTTCAATTCCTTCCAATCCCTCACCATCCTTAGCTTCCAGAGCCTGGGAGCCCCCTAGTGCACACAAGGCATCTCGGATCCTGTCAGAGAGTAAGCTGCCTGGGGTCATGAGCATGATGGTTTCTTTCCCCAGTTCAGAGAGTGGAGACTCTAGCTCTGAGTCTTCACATAAGAACAGGGGGCCTCGAGTATCTGGCTGTAGAAAACGAGATGAGTTGCTTCCTACTTTTCTTTCTTCTGGAATGCCACTTGAATCTCCTTCTACAGCTTCATGGCCTTCTTCAACCTCTGGGGTGGGGCCTGAAGGCCCCTCTGGCTCACTACAGTATAGCAGTGCTGGAGCTGCTACTGGAGAAGCAGCTCTTAATTCTGGCAGACTGTCTACTTCAACAATCAGTGGCAGAGATGTGGGCACTGAGGGCTGTTCCAGGGCACTGGCTAGGCAGAGTGGTTCCAACTCTTCTGCTGGATCATCTCTGGCCTTGGAAAAGATGCCTACAAGGACAAGGTGGATCCAGTCAGGATCAGACAGCTTGCCAATCAGTGGTAAGATTACATTGCAAGTAATGAGTTCAACTACTACATGGCGTCCAGTCCGGGTTTCCAAGTGAGGCTTAGGCACTAGTCCTTGAAGCAACACATCCACAATGTCACGCATATAGGTGACCTCAGCGCTGGGGCTCTGCACAGCAGGATGTGGGGCAGTAGCCTGGCAGTAAGCCTCCCAGAGCTGGGAGGGCTCAATTGGACCATTCTGCTTCGCTGCAGTGGCTGCCTTTGCTTGAATATAGCTCTGCAGGTGACAACCACAGAGAGTCAGGACTCTGTGAGCAAGAGCATGCCTGTCCACCATGCCCATCCTCTTCCGGAGCTCCTGAACCAACCCCTTCATGGCTGCCTCCATTTCTTCCTCAAAGGCTGGATCTTGGCTCACTAAGCGATACCAGGATGACACAAAGTCACGGATAATCATCTGGATGGTGCGGTTGATCTCCTGTTCCAGCTGCCTCTCTGCCTCAGGGTTTGGAGGGCAGGTGGCAATTGGGACAAAGCGTTCCAGGTGCAGTCGGCCTGTAGCACCCACAATGGCGTTTGAGCCCAGCCATCCTCCCAGCACCACTAGCAATGCAGACAGAAGGCACAGAAGCCACACATTGACCAGAAGGTGGATGACCAGGAGCCAGCCGAGCACAACCCCCACAGCCATCAGCTTCTGGCTACCCAACAGGTTATTAAGGTTACAGCTGGACCCAGCTGGGGTCGCCTGGCTCGGGGACACAGTCTCTGCCTGCATGGCTGCAATGACCAGGTGGCTCCCTCAGATGACTGCCCTCTTTCTACTTCCAATATGGGAGCTTCAGAGTTGGGGAAGGGTGCGTTAAGCTGCGTCCTGGAGCGAAAAAATCTGGGCTGCTATTCAGGAAGTCAAGCAGGGGGTCGGGCTCCCAACTACAAGGCTGGGGCAGCTGTTTGTTCCCTCCCTGCCGCCAACATACACTCCAAACTAGACCCTTCCTGCGATGCTTCTGAGAAACACTGCTGCCTTCATTGCACAGTCAAGGGGCCTCTGGCTGCCTCAGAAAGGGCGGTGCCGGGACCTTCAGGCCCCCCAACACTTACAAATGCCGAGAGCTGCTGCCGGTCAGGACCAGATCAGACACAGGCAGTGTCGCGGACTCATCTGGTGTCCTTTCCGCCGGCCCTCGGCCCGCAGCCACGGCGGGGTCGGGCCGACGGCTGACTGCACTCCACAGCCCCGGTTCCTGTCAGGGTCCCCGGCCAGCCGGCCGCCGGCGACACCTTCCGGGGCGACGTCACTGGAGAGAGGTATTCTGGGAGAGCGAGCACTCGTGGAGGCGCGGCTCTGCCCGGCGCCACCTAGTGGTGAAGAGGCCACGTGACCGCCTCAGTGGAAACTGGGCTCTGAAACGGAGTACTTGCAGAGCGAGTGCTTTCCAGGAGAAGGAAGAGTTCCCAAAGTGGTATCAGAGAGCGGCCGTGCGTCAATGACCTCAGACTACCAGCTCCTTTAGCAGACCTGAAAACACGTTCCATGTTCTTAATTAGTAAATGAAATCTGCAAACACCTTTTAGTGTTTAGGCAAACGCTCAATAGTCCAGTTTAATTTAATCCCATGTGGGCATTTTTTCATTGGCATGATAAAGTTTAACATCATCCTGCTTGCCCCAGAGGGCTCCTCTTTCCCAGTCCACAGCCCATCTAACTTATATTCAAGAATTGCAAAACACAAGCCACAAAACAATATGGATATAGATTTATTTCTCAAATTTCATATAATGTATCACAAAATCAAATTTGTGATTTGGGGGTTATTTACCCAAGCAACCATATATTTTGAGCAACTGCTGTTAAATCACTGTGACAGGCAGTGTGGAGAAAGACATACCCATTCTTGTCCTTCTCTCCCCAGTTAGCCACAAGGTCATCTCAAAGGACTTGTGGCTAATTGGGGAGAGAATTCTATAATCATGAAGATATTTAATAATGCAAGTCAGAGCTTTTCACAATGAGGCTCAAGTTAACCCAGAACGTAAAAATCTAAAGTGAATTGGTCTGGATTTGGTCAATGGCAAACCTCGTGACAACAAGCAAGCAAAGGTGTTTAAACCGACCATAGTTAAAGTGAAGAGTTTGAAATTTGCAACAGAAGCTGCAATAACCATTCTTCGGAATGACGATCTTATTAAATTACACTCAAAGTAAACATGATAAACATGGAGATTACGAAGATGCTGTTCACTCAGGAGCTCTTCATGACTGATGTGCTTGCTCTTTTATTTATAACAAAGTTAGATGCAGTTGTCTTGTACTGAGTATTACACATTAAAGTACAACAAGCTATCAAAAAAAAAATAATGCAAGTCAGTATAGGATATTGAAAAATGCAAAGGTATTTGTTGCCTGATTTGGGTCCGTGTCCTGGAGCAGTCAAGCCAATGAAACACATTCCAAGTCAGAAAGAGTGAGAAAGTTTATTTAGGAGGTGTCCACCAACGGGAATCCGACAGCAATGCAGGCTGTCTGAATAGAGTGCCAAGAGGCATTTTTACATTAGAGCTTATACATGATTTTTACAAAGGTTAGAAGTGACTTTGTAGCCCACAGATGGCATGGCTGGACGAATTATTCATTACAAGGTAATTACAAGAGACTCTTTATCAGACTAAAGAGATACATGCCGGATATCTCCTTATCAGGCCAAAGATATACATGTCAGACATCTGGGCTCTAATCATCCTGTGGGGGTTATAAGTCACAGGTGGCCAGACAGAGCAAAACGAAGTCATTAGCAAAGGTATGCGGAAAGGAGAAGGCAGACAAACAATAAATAAAAACTTATAGATTCATCATGGCATTAGTTATGTTAACCTCTCAGTTGCCCATTTTGAAAAGGAGAAAACATGCTGTGGAGCATCAGGGTCACAGTATTCAGGGGATGAAAATATCACTGCAAGTTGCAACGGTTAAGAGGGACCTCATAGAAGGTATCCTTTAAGCAGAATCTTCAAGGGTGAGTGTTTCTTTCTATTCATCTCTATCTCTTCTTCACTCTCCTCCCCAAATAGGGAAGGAAGGCAGAGGTGGAGATGTGTTTTCAGATATATTTGCTTTGGAATATGTTTGCTTTGGAATGTGCTTTGTTTGTTTTCAGTTTTAATAAAATTGCCTCCATTTGTCTAAAAACCAAAACCAAACCCGTTGCCGTTGAGTCGATTCTGACTCACAGTGACCTTATAGGACAGTGTAGAACTGCCCCACAGGGTTCCCAAGGAGCGGCTGGTGGATTCTGATTAGCAGTCAAACACTTAGCCACTGTGCCACTGGGGCCTCTTCATTTGTCTACACAGCTAGAGTTACCTATAGGGAGATTAACTATCTAGCATTAGCACTGACCATGTGTAAGAGTATTTGTGCCAGCTTCTGTCCCCACCCTGGTCTCTAAAGCTCTGTCTGCAATGTAGCTATCCCTTCTCTCTCTGTGTCTCTCTTTAGGCACAGGACATACATCACTTGTATGGGTCTATTCAAGGTTGCTCATCTTCAGCATTCCTATGCTGTTAGCTGCCTTTGATCATCATAGCATTACTCCCCAGATGTTTAAAGGAATCTTCAGGCAAACTGTAACAAAAAACTGTGCCAACAAGAAGTACAATGTGACTTCCTATTCCATCACCATTTCTACTGTTGATGCAAAGATTTCTTCTGACTACAAAGGGAATCATCATTTAAATATGAGGCATAAATTTATGACTAATCACTTCTAAAGCAGTTTCCACTAAGCCAACTGGGCATACCCATGAAATGCCAGAATTCTAGTCAGTGTTTTCATGGAACAGGCCACTTCACTGCTGCCTTCCTCACCACAGAAAAGGAACACAAGAAGTGGACATTGCCCCTCTTTGCCCTGCCAGACCATTCTGATTGTCTTTAGGGGCAGTTAGAAGATCACAGTGATGCTCTGGAGAAATATCCCTGCCACCAAGTTGGGAACTGTCTTAGGCTGGGTTCTCTAGAGAAGCAAAACCAGTAAAGAGTATGAATATATAGAGAGAGGGATTTATATCAAGGAAATGGCTCACCCGGTTGTAGAGGCTGGAACACCCCAAGTCTGTGGGTCACGATAGAGGCTTCTGATTCACATAGCCACAGGGGCTGGCAAACCCAAGATAGGCAGGTCACAGCAGGGCTGTTACTCACAGGCTGCAAAGATCGACGAATCCCAAGATAGGCAAATCCCGAGATCGGCAGGCAAGATGGCAGTAAGCTGCTAGCTCAAGTCCCAAGACTCAGAGGTCAGATGAACAGGAGCTAGCTGCAGGATCCAGAGTGAACAAAAGCCCAAGAGCCTTGCCAGAATGTTCACTTATATTGCAGGCTGCACGCCCAAGGAAACTCCCTTTCAACAGCTTAGCTACTTACAGTAGATCCCATCATGGAGGTAATCACATTATATCAAATCTCATCAAGGAAGTGATCATAACATCATACGACTGCCAGACTACATCAGAGCTGCCACACGACTGAGAATCATGGCCCAGCCAAGTTGACACACAACCTTAGCCATCACAGGAACTAAAATAGGAAAGTGGATGATTGAAGGACTAATGATGATTTATAAAACTTCCCAATGTCAGTTCTGAGAGAAAGTTTACTCTGTAGCACAATCTGGAATGTTCAGGGCAGTGAGGAGCTGACCTTGTCAGTGGGCACTGTGCCACCTAACCAGATGGTCTCTAGCAATGAGGTAGCCAAGACTGCCTTCCTGAGTCTTAAGTGCATCTGATGAAGCAGGATTCTCAGATGGATGTGCCAATGCACTTGTCATTTTGGCTGGTGGAAGTTCCTAGAGGTCTTGGGCAAGCCTCAGACTCAGATTAATCACTGGGTTGAGGTTAGACTCAGGATGAAGGATGGTGGTGAGTGTATTTAATGGGGGGAGGATGGCTATTTGGCCACATCACCCCTCAACTTGCTACATCCTGCCTTCTTTCCTTCTTACCATTTCTCATAACATAGGGATAGTGGTAGAGTGTTGTGGATAACATGACAAATAAGACACAGTAGTTCACCTCAAGGTACTCAAAGTCTAGTCAAAGGAGAGAGACGCATAAATAGATAAATGTAATTAAATAGCTTCACACGTGTTATGATAATTGCACTAGAAGTATGTACAATAAGATGGGATCACAAAGGACAGAGGGTCAATTGGGAAACAGGGTGGCACCAATAAAGTCTTCATAGGAAAGTTTATCTCTAAGTTGAAAAATAAAGAGAAGTTAGTGTATTCTAGGTGAATGTAGGGTACGGAGAGTGGGGAAAGAGGAAGGGAGGTCTTTTAGGCAGAGCAGCAGTGTAAGCAAAGGCATGCGCATGAGAAACAGACAGAGACAAAAACATTACAAAAAAAGAAAACCATAGCAATATATAGTGCTCTCTCTCTCTCATATATATACTCTCATATACATATACCTCATAAACAGTGATGCAAAAATTCTTAATAAAATTTCAGCATATCAAATCCAATAATATAAAAAATCAATAATACATCATGGTCAAAAGGGGCTTATCCCCAAAATTCAAGGTTGGTTTAGCATTAGAACATTAATAATGTAATTCACCATATTAACAGACCATAAGATTATCTTAACAGATATACAGAAAGTATTTTATTTTAATCCTATGTTTGCTCCTGATAAAAAAATTCCTTGGTAACTAGAAATAAATGGAAACTTTCTCAACCTCATAAATGGCACCAACAAAAGCCTACAGCAAACATCTTACTTCATGGTGAAAGACTGAATGCTTTACCCATGAGAGCAGGAACAAGGCAAGGAGGCCCATGCTCGCCACTTACATACAACAAGTGAACTGGACATTCCTTGGCCTTGGGTAGTTTTCTCATTGTACGCACTGACCCATACTCAGGTGAGAATTTTATGAATATGGAAGACTGAAGAAGAACTGATGCCTTTCAATGATGGTGTTGGCGAAGAATATTGAATACACCATGAACTTCCAGAAGAACGAACAAGCCTGTCTTGGAAGAAATACAGCCAGAGTGCTCCTTGGAAGCGAGGATGGCAGGACTTTGTCTCATGTACTTTGGACAGGTTATCAGGGGGAACAATTTCCTTGAGAAGGACATCATGCTTGGTAAGGTAGAGGGTCAGCGAAAAAGAGGGAGACTCTCAATGAGATGGATTGACACAGTGGCTGCAACAATGGACTCAAACATAGCAACAATTGTGAGGATAGCACAGGACAGAGCAGTGTTGTATTCTGTTGTGCATAGGGTCACTATAAGTTGGAACCAACTCAATGGCACCTAACAGCAACAACAATAAATCTCTCTTAGTTACAGGCTTTTGTGCTCAGCTCATAACTCTTAGTAAATTTAATGGTAGCTATACTAAGGTGCAAATGGTTAATCTGCTCAGCCACAAACCAAAAGGTTAGAGGTTCAAGTCCACCCTAAGGTGCCTCAGAAGAAAAACCTGGTGGTATACTTCTGAAAAATCAGACATTGAAAACTCTTTGGAGCACAGTTCTACTCTGACACACCTGGACTCACCATGAGTGAGAACTGACTT